GAAGACTCCATTTAGACTTTTCTAAAATTCTTATGCCAGGAGCCAATTTCAAAATGAAAGTGAAAGTTATTGAATTGTTTCTGAGAAGCGAATGCAAGAATATCGAAATGGAATGTCGTAGAACACATATGAACATACAAATGACGAGAACCTTAAGAAGAAGACGTACAGTCAGAATCATATCCAGCTCATATCCGTCATTACTAGTTGTTTGTAATATTTATACAACGGAAAAAAGGGATATTGCTAGAATTGTAAAGATACTAGGGGTTTTGGGATTGCGGACGAAATGCCTACTGAAATTTCGTTTTCAATATAGTTTGAATCAACTGTGTAAAGGTTCAAATATCAGGAATAGTATATTGCGCAAAAAGTGCGAAAAATAGGATATTTCATAAGAGTTTGGCAATATTATGAACCACGAGCCATAGGCGAGGTCCTGCTTGAACACGCACATAACGTTTTGCGACTTCCACCCTACCATCCGGATTTGAATCCCATTGGACTCACTTGGGCTACTGTCAAACAGTTGGAAGATGTGAGCAAACTGGGGAAGAACGAGTTTGATCAAATCACTTCCGAAGAATGGCAAAAGCGTTGCCGACATGTAGTAGATATAGAGCGGAAATAATGGAGGAAATGAAATATTCACAGACGTTCAAACAGAGGTAAATCCAGTGATTATGAATTCAAATGAAGATAGCAGCACACGCAGAAGCAGCAGTGAAGATGAAGAAAATTTGTGTTCAGATAGTGAGCGATTAAAGTTTATTTTTGGATAGGTGTATCATTATATAACATTTTGATGAACTATACTACTACCTATAATACTAAATGAAATATGGAAAGTAATTGCAAAAAAGTCCTGTTCCATTAGCTACCCTAATCAAAACTAATTATAGATACGACACTGGCCGGCAAGGGGCTTATCGTAATCCAATAGTAATTTAGTTGAGGGAGTCTATACCTGTGCGATCGCTCGCCATCAGCCGTGGTGTGCTTACTTGCGATTATATTACGACCACAAAATCATTTAGAATGATGATTCACTGATTCCTTTTTAGTGCTAGTGACATGTTTTCTGATTATATAGGTGTTAATATAATAGTTTTCGTAATTATTTCCTGCTTCCGAACGTTGGAACATTTATTTGTTTAAGTGACCGTTACCATATCGTAAAATGCCCTTGAATTTCATGAGTAACTTTTATGATGAATGATTCGTGCTGATTATTTTTTGAACAGTAAGATTCACAATAATCTAGAATCAGATAAATACTCATTGGAAATCAAATCATTATACCAGGTGGCGTTCATTTTCTCAATTTGTGATTTAATCTGGAATTTGATTTCATGAAAAAATAATATTTTGAAACATCTCTGAGAGAAAATACTTTTTGCTCTGTCGCTTATCAGTTATAGAAACAATAATTCATCATTTGATTCATTTCAAAAAAATTATCAACTCGTATGAAAAAAGATTTTGCTATTAAAATACATCCTTATCAGATTAAATAGGATCAACAAATTTGAATCAACGTTGTTTATAGGTACGGCTGCCAGACTGAGTCTTGGCCGGTGAGAAGCTCCTTCCTCAAGATGTGCAGTAGATGTGTAGAAATATGTTATCAGTCTTTCAGATTATTTAAGCCGTAAACGTAAAATTAGTGGGCCACACAGTTCTTCCACACATCACTATTACCTACTTCATTCACCACTCGCCTTATATTGTCAAGCACCACAGCATTTAAAGTCGGTGACTTATTACATTTCCGCAAGTAAGTTATAGATCTAGATTTCTACTCACTCACCTAAGCCTGCGTGAATATGTTCAATATCAGAGCTTTCTGTCTGGATGTGACATCAACCAATTTGTTCATTATTTACTTTTGTTTGGCATTTATATCCACTGATCAATATTTTGTAGGCAATGTCTACATTATAAACTACACCACTATAGAAACTCTTCGGTGGAATTCGAATTTGGTATGGTATATCTATCTGCCAATTTTTTCTGCGATGTCTTATTGAACCAAAGCGCTGCCGAAATAGCCGAATCATCACGGCAGAGTCCCGTTGTGAAGAAATCGACGTAATGTATTAAAAATTGGTCAACAGAAGAGGTCTGAACCTGCTCCACGACAATGCCCGTTGTCACGCTTCACAAATTACCGAATCAAACGAATCGAGCATCGAAGTTCTATCTCACCAACGATACTTCCCAAACCTCTCGCCAACCGACTACCACCTTCTCATGCACTTTGTTAACTTTCTCATCGGTAGAACCTTCGCCAATTGGGATCAGGCATAAACGGTCTTTGTCGATTTCATTGAATCACGGAATTAATTGACTTGTGTTACGTTGGAAAGAGTTCACTGATTCAAGTGGTGCTCGATATGTCTCACCAACAATACTTCCCAAACCTCTCGCCAACCGACTACCACCTTTTCATGCACTTCGATAACTTTCTCATTGTAGAACCTTCGCCAATTGGGACCAGGCATAAACGGTCTTTGTCGATTTCATTGAATCACGGAATTAATTGACTTGTGTTACGTTGGAAAGAGTTCACTGATTCAAGTGGTGCTCGATTATTAATCGAGTATTAATGGACAAAAATTTTGACCCAACCCTATAATGCAGATTGAACTTGTTTTATCATCAATTCATGTATCACTACCCCGTTTCCTGAATAACCACCAGTGTGCTTATCAAACCGACAAATCGACAGATTCAGCATTAAACAACCCTGTAGAGAAAATCTCCTAATCCCTTGACAACAAGAAGATTGCGGTTGCTGTATTTCTCGACATCAAAGGAGCATTTGACAATGCACTACCTAAATCTATAGGATCATCTCTAGTTAGGAAAGGTATAGAATCGATCATAACGGGCTGGATCTATGCAATGCTGGTGAACAGAACCTGCAACTACGACTCTTCGAAGCCAGGCCATTAGATTCAGAGTAAGCAGAGGCTTTCCTCAATGTAGTATACTATCTCCCCTTTATGTGGTCGCTCCTGATGGATAGTCTACTTGATGTTCCCGACAGAAGAAAAGTAGATCTGCAAACTTATGCAGATGACCTTGTCATCTTGGCAAGGTCCACGCCGGGAAGGGTAGCTTGTGATATCTTCCAAAGCACGATGGATATTGTTCACAGTGCCTGAGGAAGCAGATGTCTGTCAACCCCAGCAAAACTGTGATAATCCCTCCCAGGAGGAAAAAATTGGACGATCTAACGCCACTATACCTCAATGGTGAGGTCATTCCATTTGGAACGGAGGTGAAATATCTTGGCATTGTCTTTGAAAAAAAACTCACCTAGAATGGTCACTTGGAAAAAGTTTTACATAAAGCTAGACTGTCCCTATGGACATGTCGAAGGATTTGTGGTAAAACTTGGGGGTTAGGTCCAAAACAAATCCATTGGATTTATGTGATGATTGTCAAACCAATGATCACTTATGGTGCAATTGTCGGGTGGCCGAAGGCTTTGCAAAAAACGGCCTAGGAAAAGCACTCTGCCTTACAGAGACCGGTTTGTCTTGCCATCAGTGGTGCCATCAGTACCACACCGTCAGCGGCCATGGAGATCCTTCTGGATCTAAATCCTCTTCACATTTTTCTAAAAAGAGAGGCTGGATGGACTGCATATAGACTTGTGTACATTGCCAATTGCATAAATCAATTCAATGCAGAGTGCAACTGACTGTTGGTTGACACTGGAAGTCATAGCATTGTGAAAATGACCTTTGACTTTATGCCTTCAACTGTCAACTACGAACTGCCTTATAAAGCATTGTTCCCGAGAAGAGAGGACTGGATCCTACGGGAGAAGCAAATATCAAGAGCAGATAGTTGTTGGTTCACAGATGGATCAAAAACACCTTCGTGTTTTGGTACAGGTGTTTTCAGTCGCAAACCCTGGACAGAGATATCAATCTGCCTAGGAACTTATGCGCCTGTATTTCAAGCGGAAATTTACGCTTTCGAATTGTGTGCGGAGAGATTTGAAGAATCCAACCTCATACACAAGACAATAAAAATATTCTCGAACAGTCAAGCGGCGTTGGAAGCTCTTGGTCCTACCGTGCAACGTCTAAATTGGTAGTAAATTGCCAAAAACGACTTCCCTCGATAAGAAGACCTAACAGATTGTCTCTGGTCTGGATTCCTGGCCATACTGACCTGAAAGGAAATGAGGCTGCTGACTCCCTTGCTGTAAGCGGTTTCATCAGACCAAAACCTGTCATTGGCATTGCTTCAGGCTTTGCCAAACAAACATTGAACACCTGGATGGCAAGAAGATTTTTGGACTTCTGGCAGAATTTTCCAGGATTGGCACATTCCAAAGCATTTATTCACCCTTCAAAGCTTGATACCAAACAGTTGTTGGACTACAGTAGGGATGAACTACGATATCTAACAGACCTTTTTACAGGTCACTGTCATTTGAATCATCATATGCAGAGACTCGGACTGTCGGAAGACAGTGTGTCGCCTCTGTTTGGAAAATGATGAAACAACAGAGCACATACTTTGTGCCTGCCCCGCCGAAGACCGAATCAAGTTCTCAGAGTTCGGCAGAGCCGTACTCTTGCCATCTGACGTGAAAGACCACTCACCATACAAATTAATCGGCTTCGTTAAGAAGCTGGGTTTATTTGGTCGAGTGTGAATATGTGTGAGCCACAATAAACCCTCGCGGGTTGCGGTGGAGGGTCGAATAGACCCAATCACTTTGAACCTAACCTAACCTCGTTCTCTAGATTAATTGTGAAGATGTACAAAGATCAGTAACTTAGTACTCTTACATTTAAAGCGTATTTTCAGAAACTAACAGACCGGATTCAGATCAATAGCCTCAGTCAGACAATTTTTTGAGAGAAAAAAATGATTAATTGTTGCAGAAAACCCAAAACTCCAGGTTTCCAACTTCAAAACCTACGAAATTCAATACAATCTTTGAACCCCAATTTTTCCCCCTTGGTGGAAATTCAAACTAAAATTTGTAACATGTATTTAGATTTTTACAACTCAATTTTTCCGAAACACATGACGAATTTTTCCATATCAGCACATTCCACCACGTTTGGCATTTCCTTCAAACAATCCTTGGCATTTTTCTTAGCATCTTCAGGCATTTTTGAAAATATTTTACATTTATCCAAATTGTCAAAGTCCACGGAACCGTCAGATTTCAATCTTCCTGTTTTTTCCATCACACATTTCAGAAAACAGAGTTGATTTTCATTCAACTCGTTTCCTTTTTTTGGATCAATTACATCTTCAATTTTAACATTGACTTCCTCAAGACATTCTTTGATTTCTGATGGATATTCCCTAACTGGAGGTTCAGCCGCTGTTAGTAGGATCTGGAATGAAACAAAAAATTGAAAAGGCAGTCATTCTTAGTTTATCCCATCCACTTAAGAGCACACGATTTATACTTTCTCCGACACTTCAACGGAAATGACAAACATCAAAGTGAGGCATTATTCCTTCTGAACTTTTCTGTTTCAGGAAACACGAATATCTTCAAAAAAAAAAAGGGAAAATACACACACTGCGTTTGACCTTGTTTTCATAAAATGTCATTAATTGATATATTTACATATTGACCCAGGAATAATATTGCATTAATTTGTGCCTTTTAAATCTACAATACCAGAAATAACTATTTATCTATAAAAAAATTAATTGAGTTTTGCCATAAAATGCCAAAATTGTACCTGTTTTCTGAAAGTAATACTGTATTCTATCTGCTCACTGGAAGTTTATCAGGATGTTTGTAATAAAATTATCTGGCAGCTTCTCTTGCCGAAAGAGCATTAACTCCAACAAGGCGCACAAGTTCAATTTTATCTCGCATACTTAGTTCTTTCATGATAAATCATCAATTCCTACCGCTTTACAGAATATTTTTTACTAATGGGGCATGATCTGATTTTATTGTTTCGATACAGTTTTGACAACAGCAATAATAATCAATAGTCTCTTGTTAATCAGTTCAACGAGTATATTGAGCGCAGTCTCAGGAAGACTTTCGAGAATTTTAATAGAAATTTCATCAAAGTCAGATGCTTTCTTATTTTTTATGTTTCCTATCACTTCCTTCAATTCATTTATACTGATGTAGTGTAATGAAAAGGTACTGTCTACATAGATATCACTGAGATATTCTAGGGGATCGTGAGTAGGTGAAATGATTTGACCGAGTTTTGTTGCGACGGAGCACAAATAGCTGTTTTAAGGATGTACCCTTCATTTTTTTTATGAGAGAGAATACTTTGGCAGATTAAGATCTTCAGATGATGTGGTGCTGCATGTTTTTCCACTATTTCCTGCAGCTGAAAAAGCAAATGCGCTAGGAATTAATCTTGAACATTTCTCGCATTCATAGGAATGAGTTGAAGTGGGATTTGAATTATTTCTTTCCGAAATAATGATATATATGATGGAATTGGCCGATACTTAATGAACATTCATAACGTATTCAAAAAACACTTCATTGTGAGATTTCTACTTAACAATTTCACAAAAACGCAACACATGCTTCGCCATACGATGGCTTCTTCGAGAGTGTCTGTACAATACAGTGTTTTTGAATAAATAATGATATTATCGTCCGTTTTCAGATTCTCAAACCAAATATGAAACCGTGTTTCAGGCAAGTGAAATTTTACCTTTTTATTCAGGACTTTTTCTTCCAGTTTGTATCTGAAAGGTACTTCTTTGCATAATCTATACATCTTTGCATAGAGTTATTATTTTTTGGATTTTTTTGTTTCCTTCCTTTTGTATCAAGATGGAAAAGTAGAAACCTAAAACCATTTTTTCCCAAAATTTTTTTCTTTTTTCATCAAAGTGCGTTTCATCTCTAAATTATTTGATTATCAATTCCAAATTTAGAGCAACTAAGTACATAATGTAAACTGTCGTGATTTCAAATCTTTACTGAAAGAGAGAATTCCCAAAAGAATAACAAGACTCACTCAATTCTTTGATGTACCATATGTATCAACAAATAACTGTTCACCTATCATTACAATGATGTCAGATATCAACTTTGTTCTCCCTCCCAAAGAAGTTTATAGTGGTGTATAAACATACTTTTCAAGTTTAGAATAACTTTATATTTTTACCTTCCATTCGGCTTCATTTAGTAACTATTCGTAGATACAATGTAACTGTATTCACATATAAATATTAGAATTCTATTCATGATTTAGACTGTATTGACATTTTTATAAGAACATTTATTTTCAGGTAATGAGGTTTTTTATCTGTTTGAAAATGAATAAATGAATATCGAGATCTAGTTTCATATGACCATAGTTTCAATTATGATGATAATTTTTGTGCTGCTTACATTGTTTTTATCGTATTGAAGAGATTTGACTGGTTAATGAAAAAAATAGCTCGCACAAGTTTCGACTTCTGAGGGTTGTCATACGTAGGGGTGCCACAGCTGGTTAACGGAAAAAACATATATTTTCAATCATTACCCTCCAAGAATATAGATCACAGTTACAGAATCTGACAAGTCTCAGTGTGAATAAAATGACATGAAAATGGAATATCGTAGTGTGACCAGAATAGTTTGAGAGATGAATCCGAAAAAATTTCGCTTACCTGCGCTAGTATGACGATCACAAGAGCATTTAGAACGATCATTTTAACAGTTTCTCTAGAGTGCGAGTGAAATATTTACTGAATATATAGGTGTTAATATAATAGATTATTATTATTTCCTGTTTTCGTTGAAACATTTTTGTGTTCATTGAATGATCATAACCATAACGTAACATGCCCTTGATTTTTTTGGAGCTACTATGAATGGATAATTTGTGCGAACCGTTTTTCTATGAGTAGGATTGTGATAATCTTATAGAATCAGAATGAAACTGATCCAAGAATAGAGCAATGGAAGAAAATGATTTTTTATTTATTTTATTTCAATTGTTCCGTTGGCATTTTTATTTCTCTTCCACATATTGTTTTGATGTTTCATTTACTTTCTATCTATAACTATCAGATCGTTTTTGAGTCTATGGCATGTCGTATATGATTTGTATACTCCTCAAGTCGAGTAAGTTAACATTATTATAAAATCGTAGAGGTTCACAATCTCGTTATTTAGTATGAGAAGAAGTGGATAATGCAGCCGAATGTTCTGATTGAAGTTCTGAAAATACAGAGTTTTTGCAATTTCCAAGGTCCATCGTCGAAGAAACATCCATATAATAGTGTATTGTTTGCCATTTTAAGACAGAACGGTGTTGCTGTAGAAATCCCATATCCAAATATTGACACACAAAATACTATTCTACACCAATGAGTACAAAAATGTAGCATTCAAACTTCATAGTTCAAATTTTGAGTAGATAACGATGTTTTCGAGTTGTCCTCAGTCCTAGAGCTTGATTAGCTTTCTCTGCAGACTGATTGTAGAATATTACCTTCTTCATTCATTTTTTTCGGTTAAAGTTTTACCACTTTATTTGTTTGTGTTTATGTTCATGTAGGGAAATAATTTTTTCAAATATTCATTTTTTTGGAACGGAAATCAATTCCTTCAATAATCTTCTACAAAATAAATAGCATCTCCCAAATTTTACAGTGCTGCGGATATCTCGGTTATTTCGAGAGGGAAACAGATGATCCGAAAAAATATTTTCTTGAATAACGATAACAAAACCCGTGGGTTGGGCTACCTATCGGGCGAGTCCCCAGGTGGCGGATAGGGGAACGGCCAGGGGACTGGAGACCCTGTCCGGAAAGCTAATGTGACCTTACGCACGGAGTCGCCGGACTCCTGGTCAGTGGCAGAAATAAGTGGGGTGAGGAGAACCGAAACCCCCCAAAAGCCTTTGCGAAACATGCCACCGTGGACTAGCCTACCCAAGCTGAGGTGTGAGGAATCGTGCCGACAGCTGAATGGCCATAGGGAGATATGCGGTCATGAACGATCCCCTTGGGGAACTGGGCGAAACCTCATTGTAATCAGCCTAACTCTGGTAACGCGGGGCTCTGCCAGAGGTGACCAACTCTTCCCATGCTACTCCATGAATGTAACAACAGAAACAACAAAAACAAAAACCAATCCCGAGGCTAGACAGAAGTGGCTGTACATAGCAGATCACCTCCAACAGCAAGGCACTTCCTGCGGCGGGCACCAAGATCTCCACCTTGAATAAAGGCAAGGAACCGGCTGCCCCTGCAGGAAAGCTCCCTCACTTGTGTACCTCCACGGAGGGAACCCCAAGAAGGTTGAAGAATCCGCGCAACGACAGTAATATCGCTGCAACTTCCACAACCTCCGCAGAGGCCACCGTGAGACACCTCAAGGTTGCCAACGAATACGTTCAGATGAACCATATCAAATATTTCAACAGTCAATCAGGTATCCAAAATGATATGATATGAAAAAATATCAATCAGAAAAATAATTTATAATAATTGGAAAATCCTTGAAATTCTAGTTGGAAAATGAAGTATACAATTAACATCGATCTTCTCTAGGTGTTTTTACGTTCTACCAACTGAAAAATATGAAAATTGTAATGAAGAACTTCATATACGTTCACCCCGAAAAGTAATATAAACCACTGAAGACCCCAATTAGTCATTTCGGTAAAATTGTAAAAAACTACTTGAACAGTTTTTATTCGACTTCAATATGATTACCACGATCTATACAGCTTTCATAAATTCATAGAATTTGGAGAGATTGAAAATAATTAAATCTACAGATCGAATGATTTGAAGATCGTCACACCGATATTTCCTCATTTCAATTTTAATAGAGCTGGAAAAGACATTCAAACACCGAAAACGGAATTGGACTCTTCTAGCGGAGAAACGTAAAAGTAAACGTGAAATTGAACAATATTTCTCAATTATGATTCCCGCAAACCCAGATTTATTATTGCCATTTGAACTTACTTATAACATTCTTTCAAATCAGCGTTTTACGTGACATTGTCTTAGAGCAAATTGGTTATTACAGTGAACAAAATAACTGATGACATTTATATTCAAATAATAACGATATTGAGATGTAGAATAGTTGAAATGGACAATTACATCACTTCATCGATTGACATTTCATCCGATAAAGGATAAACGACTACAATTTGAAACTATTTGACATAATGCTCATCATAAATTAGCTTTCAATTAATGTCTATACCCGTGCAACTAGCAATACAAGAAGCGGAAACCCTTCCACGTATAACCAAATCGGTTTTGGTGTAATTCATCCTGCCTTTGTTTATTATCTGTTGTAACGCAATGTCCATTGTATTTTGTCATTAGCATTGAATATTATTATTATTATGCAGGACTCCAGAGGAGGATATATAAGGGGTACTATTTATATTTTGGAACATCTTCATTGTTTTTCGGAATAATCCCCGTAGGGAAACTGTCTATACTTAAATGATAAGTTTACACGAATAAATAGATGCAGACTATATTTTACTCATGTGTGAAAATATTCAATTGATGTAATTCATAAACGAAAACCTGCATAACTACCATGTTCATAAAAGTAAACCAAGTCAATCAGTCTCAGAAGTGTTCCACGTATTGGAACACGTATTTCGTTGGGTGACGAAAAGAGTATTGAAGTTTGTATAAGCTTAGTGCTAGGTGTTACAGAATAAAGTGTGTTACCTAATTACCTACGTCGCATTATTTAATAGTATACAGTCCACTAGAAGGAGGCCAGCAAGTCCAAAAACCAAAACTGGGACCCAACAACAATAATTCATGACAGTGTCATGATATACATAAGTAAAGGTAGAAATTTAATTTTAGAATATTGTCTCATACAAAAGTTTCCTTTACATCAAAAGTACAATTATTGAATGTCCATTGCATGAATGATATGTTCCTTGAACTATTCGGTACAACAATCGAATTTTCTTGTGTTGAAATTATATTTTTTCTGCCATGGACACAACTGCCGTTGATGTACCTGGTCGCAGCACTGCCAAACGTTCTAAACACTGTATAAGCTATTTCTGTTCTGTCTGCTACCGATTCATCAACATACCCTTCAGCGACCGTTGATGACTTCCAACCGCCATGTTTCTTTAGTGTCATCAAGTCTCCCCCAGATTCAACTTAAAGTGTAGCAGACAATCTTCGAAATGAATGACTTGTAAATGAATTGGCATTTGCAAGCTGAAAAAAATTAGCCACTGCTTCAGGTACCTTATGAAACTAATTGCTACCCACAAACTGATTGACATATTTTCAATTGCGATATGCATAAAACAGACGTCGATCCTTTGCTGCTGCTGGATGAAGGGCTATGTACATCGGTTAAATTTAATATATTCTTCAGTAACTACAAATCTGCTGTTCACATCATTCTTTGTTTGCTTGAGTTTCACAATTAATAACGTTCCCGAATCTTCAATATCATCTAATGTTACCTGGCTGATTTCACAAATTTGACAAGCTCTTGCAATCCCAAATACAACAACAACCTTGGCCATTAAATAAACTTCATCATTTAAAAAGTCACTAATATGTGTACTCGTAAATATCGCAGCATTCTTGGGCGTGTTACCTTTCCCATTTTGTTTCAGAAATGTAATTAGTTTGAAATATTTTGAAATGTCTACATTATATTGGATTGTAACATACTTTTAATCATTGAATAATTCGACCATTGATGGCTTTTGTTGTTGTGTCCGTTCCGAAAAATAAGCCAATAACACCGTCTCCGAGAGAGAACTGCATGTCTTTTTCATCTTCCATTCCATGAATCTTGAATACGCGGTTTCATAAATTTTCCGCGATTCAGCTGGCAACTCCGGTGGAGTCAGAGAAAACTCGGAATTAGACATTTTTCAAAATAACTTGTAACGGAACAATATATACACATCGGAAAAATCTAGGAATATTTTTAAAAATGGCAATATTTTTTTTTTAGATCGCTTTAGGGAAAAAAGAGTTGACGGGTGATTATTAAACGAATGTAACTTACAACAAAATACATTTTAGCCGAAAACCTACAGTTTGTAAAAAACTTGATAAAAGATTAGTTACCGTTTTTGCAGGCTTTGTTCAACCCATAGAAATCTACAGGGTGGTCGAGTGTACCAATTTAATCGAAATTAAACGACCTCATGCATTTATTTTTATGATATTTAGTATGTTATAAAAATATCCCTAGACTTTTGCGATGTGTGTACATCTCGGCATGATTTATAATCTATCAACAATTATTATAAAACTCTAACCAGAATTGGAAGGGTTGCGTCTCTCGCCTAGAGATGTCAGTAGGAGAATCAAAAGGTACGAAAATCTTTAGTTTTGAGAGTTATAAAAAACCACCAATTCTGAAAAACGTGTGCCTCGATCAGGAATGAGATTAGGAATTCTTTTGGTCCATTGAATATACAATGTTAGAAGCCTTAGGGTGTGTAAACCTAGATATTTTTATCAAAATATTAAGTTGTTACCTGGTTCTAGCTCTGTTATATTCAAACCAACCCAAAAATAAACTTTGTTTTTTAAACCTCCTAAGTCTGGTATCTCTCTGTTGAACCCACTTTCAACCTAAACCCAGCGGGACTTTAAAAAAGAGCCTTCTTTTAAAGTTCCACAACAAACTACCCACCACTAAGTTCGCAATTTTTAAATCAAATCACAGAATTAAATTAACAGATATTTGATTTTCTATTGATTGTACTTATAGCGTTTCGTAGCAACGCTATAAGTACAACAGCCTACCTGTTTAAAAATTCAAATTTCATATCAATAATTTTCTGACTTTAACATAGTGTAATAATATGTTTTTTCAATATTGAATCGTCGTTTTTCCCGTCACAGAAAAGAATTGTGTATTATACACGGAAAAAATATTAGATTTTAGCTCTCGGTTTTTTGTCTCCCTCCGCTACGCGTCGACAACACAACCTCGAGCTAAAATCTAATACGTTTTTCCCTTGTATAATAAATAACTATTGTACGATTGAAAGAAATAAGTATTTCCTTATGAGTGAGAATGTTATTAAAAATCGAAATGCATGATAAAAATATAGGGTGTTCCATTTAAAAAAATATCGTTTTATGAAATATTTTGAGAACGCGACTGTCATTTTTTTGTTTGCGGCATCGAGTGGGCCTTTAAAAATGCTACTAGTTTGCCCTTTCAACCAAATTGGCAACATCAGTGATAGCTGATTTCAGATTCACATTCATATCGATGTAGAAGACTGTAGTTCTGGATATCGAAATAATTCATGATCTTACTGAGTGGCTGAACTATTTTATTTGATGCTTTTCAAATTTGGCTAATAACTAACATACATCCATCGATAATCCAATATCTGCAAAGCAGTCCAGTGCAACCTGCATATCGACACATTCCACTATTTTCGGTAATTTTGACAAACATTTCTTCGTATCACTGTTATAAAATTTTATGAATTCCGGGTGGTTTTCTATTTTTACAAAATGTATTGTTCCGTCAGGTTCAAGTGCACCTAATTTCTTGGCGGCACACTTGGTCGCACATAATTGAGGTTCTGGCAATTTGTCTCCATATTTATAAGGTTTCAAATCATCAATTGTAAGATTGTTCATTTCAAGGCATTCTTTGTAGTTCTCCAAACATTGACTGTTCACCAATAATGTCTGAAATAGAGATATGAGATAAAAAACATCTGATATGAATATTCATTAACATATTTGAAAGAAAATGAGAATACAGAAATGGTATAGTCGAAGTAACCGATATAGTAATTCTTAAAGCTATCGGTGAAGTCAAAGGTCAAAAAAATAAAAAGAATTAATGCCGCTACGAATTAGTCCAAGTGGACTGTAGACTTGGCGGTTCGTATTGGATAATTTTTACTAACCGAGTTTTATGATTGGCTGAAGAGTCATAAAATTAAATTTGAAGTCATGTTACGGTGACCAATAGAATGTGAGGTCAATGTTCAGTTCAGGACTGATCGCGATTTGAGTGTTGAAATTCGATATCGGTGAAGTTATAATTGATTAAAATTTTTGTTATTTGTTTAAAATGTGGCTTCCTTGGACAAGTTCTAATGGTATTAACGAGTGTGATAACAACGCAGACTTTTTCAGTGTAGTGATTCCAATAGCGATAGTGAACAATGCGAAAAAGAGATACCAGTGAATAAGATTCGGATGCATTTGAATATTGAAACACAGAGAATATGTTTCAATGTATATAAGAATCTACATATCAAGTTTGCTTTCGAGGGAAAGAAACTATCACAAGCAACATCAGATTTGACCGAAATTCCTTTCTCAACTGTACGTAAAATAGTCAAAAACAAACCTTATGAATGCAAGACGCGATGTGATGCGGGATTACCAAAACCTTTAGATGTTCATCTAATGAAATCATTTAAAAAAACAATATACGACTGTTACAAAAGCAATGAGATTCCCACAATTGAAATCATAAGGAAGAAATTGAATACTTCCGGTCATAACGTGAGCTACTGTGACAAAACTCTTCAGAATTGGATAAAGAAACTAGGATTTAGATTAAAAATAATAAACAAACGCCAAGCAGTTATAGAAAGCAGAAGAATAGTGGAATTGCGTAACAAATACTTAGAACAAATAACTAAATTTAGACATGCCTGCTAACAAAGGATCGCGACTAATTATTGTGCATTGCGGAAGAAGTAAAGGATGGGTTCCGAATTCTTTGAAATTATGTGGAAAAAAACTTGAGGAATGCAATGTTGACTATCATAAGAGCATGGAAGCTAATATTTTTGAGGAATGGTTTGAAAACACATTGATCCCAAATTTGGATGCGAATAGTGTAATAGTTCTTGAAAACGCTTCCTATCATTCGCGACAGCTCATCAAAGTACCGAATAAAAATTCAAGGGAAGATGGAATACAAAGTTATTTAATGGATAACAATATGTATTTTATAGATTACTATACCAAAAACCAACTACTTAAAGTTTTACAGACAAAAACATTTGAAAAAGTGTATGCCCTTGAGAGTATTGCTGAAAAGTATGGACACACCATATTGAGACTTCCTCCCTATTTTTGTGTTTTCAATCCCATCGAGTTGATTTGGGGAGAATTGAAACAAATCATCAGGCGTTTAAATGATTTTCCAAAATTTGATAAGAAGGTGATAGATCTAGTTAAAGAAGAAGTATCTAATATCACCGAAGAACACTGGCAGAAAATAAATAAAAAAGTAATTTTAGTTGAAAAAGAATATATGGAGATTCGACACTTCCATATCAATATTGGAAATAAATTCATTATTGATTTAAATGACGACAGTGATAGTGAAACGGAGAATATGGAAGAGGAATTATCAGAAGCTTTCGAAGAAAGATAGTGAAGTGTTTTTGAAGCAATCAATTGTGTATATATGTGAGTAAGTAGTTAGGTTAGGTCACAAGTGAGTGGGTCTATTCGACCCTTCACCGCTACCCGCAAGGGTTTATTGTGGTTCACACCTACTCAAGTGCGAGTAAGTAGTATTCAGAAGTATTTTCAATCATCACTCTGTTATTTGAATATTTCTTCTGAATATAACTACAGTGTGCATTAAAGTTCAATTCTTGATCTAATACCACTCCCAGATATTTAAAAGTTGTTACCCTTTCAATGATGATTAATAGTTGCAGGAAACCCAAAACTCTAGGTTTCCAACTTCAAAACCTACGAAATTCAATACAATCTTTGAACCCCAATTTTTCCCCCTTGGTGGAAATTCCTGATTCCCTTTCTTGATGCTTATTTAGGCTATACAAATAACCTACCTGCATATTTCAAGATTCTAGATTCTTGAGCTTCGGTTGTACGTTAATATAAGAGAGGCAACATCTAGTTATTAATATTTTTACTTTAAAAATACAGTAACTAAAAAAATATGCCAACTGCCCTAAGTAATGAATAGCTTCAAGAATCGAATTATATTATACCTGATTTTTATGAAAGACAAAGAAAGTATCCGATTCAATTGTATTCATGGCTCAGTATTTTGCATATAGTGGTTGCCACATAGGTTGCCACATATATGCTATCGCGGACTTTTATTCAAAAACTATTCAAAATAAGCAATCTTACGGTACATTATCTCCATGTAACTGCAACGGTATAGGCAGTTACATGGAGTAACTTACTCAGGGAGTAAGAATTTTTCCAACTTACTTAATACTCATCGTTATATTACGACCAAAATTACACAAAACTTTTGTGAATTGTAGCCTATATGTTATTCTGGTGTATAAGCTGTATTTATGTGAAGTTTCATCTAAATGCGTTCAGATTTGGAGTGTTGTGTCACGAATTCCAGTGAACCCAACGAGAATCATATTTTAGCAAGAGGGAAGGGTGCCAGTAATATTATTTTGCGAAGGATAAAGGTAAATCTGTATAATAACGAGGGAAGTTAACAAAAACTGATGCACTGGAGCCGTTTCCCCAATATACAAAACTGATAAAATTTTTTCCGATTTTTCCGAACATTTTATTTTTGAAGTTGGATGTTGTTGTTACCCACTAATTAAACATAAACTTCCTCACATTTCATATTCAGTTAGCTTGAAAGATGTGCATGCCATAAACTTTTCAGCTCAATGAATACACTTTGCTAATCATACACTTTTCTACACGACACCTTTTCTAATTTCAGATATTCGATTTATTTATGTGAGTGACACCAGGGCTCAAACGCGTTCAATCTACGTTTCAACACCAGACATCGTTGTTTCGACCTACCATAGGTTTGTTCTAAGATATTAGGGGTTAGGCATATTAGGGGTTAGGCACTTCATCACCACAACCCATCCTAACTAATCTGAGATTTATTTTGAACTGGTGAAGATAAATAAAATAACTAAATTATGTTACCTGTGCTAGTATTGAGATCACACAAATAATTGAAGGTATCATTTTGATGGAATTGATGATATTGGAGTTACCATTTTTATATACAAGCGTTAGTGTAACAGATCACTACTTCCTGTTGGCAATTACTGGTATAATTTTCAATTCTCAAAAACCCATCATTATTTTTTTTGCTTTTCAAAAAAACTCTTGCTTTCATCAAGTCATTCCTGCAATCCAATAATGTCCTATAATGGGAAGATAAACATTCTGTTTTTCCGGAATCACTTGATGGGAATTTAATCATTTTATAAGTATGATTTCTATGGAATATCTCCAAACGTTATGTGAATATTTTTAAAAAGAAAACTTTCATGAATCCATACCCCGAAAGGATTTCTTGAATTTTAGTGTCATTCCTTTCGATTTTCAACAACGACACTGACTATTTTTTCTAAACGAAGCAGATTTCTCTTTCAAATATTCCAGTCTCTTGCTTGAATACGTTCACAAGTTTCTTTGATATTTGAAGTAATTTTTAGGAATGATTAATTTTCGGGAAAGTTTTTGGTTTTCTACTACTCCGTCTTGATACAAAAAAATTTAATAAAATAAGCGAATGAACGTCATTACGATGTAATAGATGACAAGAGTAGATTAAACTCATTCCACAACATGAAGTCGTCATTTATGAATGAATTTTGTGTTTATTCTAATAATGTTATCCACATTGGTACTGAAGAGTCCTAAGGCAAGTTGTCTTACGGCGAAACATCGATGTCTACCAGTGAGGATGACAGTGTTCCATGTAAGTGAAATTTTTACCTTATATTTAGCATATTGTGTAGGAATCCTGTGAGTGATATCTGATTCAATTCCATAACGGATATTTGGAATACAAACTGGGTAAAAAATGTTTTCGTATAATTCAGTGTTCATATAAAAGTATTTGTTTCGAAATAATTTTTCTTTCGTGTAATGCAATGTTTATATGAAAGTAGCTGTTTCAGGAGGGTTTTTTCTTTCAGTTTGTGTCTGAAAGTTACTTACTTGCATGATCTACACATCTATGTATAGAGTTGGTTTTTTTGAAAATGATTGGTTCCTTTCTTTCTCTGGAAGATTCCCACATTTTTTCGTATAAAGAAACTGGATTCGAATTCTGTGCGCTTCTTTCTCAAAAGGGAATATCCACAAAACTACCCGACTCGACGCCAAAACAAGATAAACCCACCCTGATTACACCTCCAAAATAACAAGCAGGAGTATCCTCAGAACCGGTCTGCAGCGTACGTGGATAAATCTCCCTGGAGACGGCGTTCGTCTGTCTGTCCGGTTGAATGCATGCAAATGCGGAGGCGTCGGGACGCTGTCACGCTCTAACATGTCTTGCGTGAGGTTGCCGCTTGGATTGGGATAATAGAGGAATGTAATGTTTTTACCTGGTGAGGAACGTGAATTCATGCTATAATGCCTCTGGATTTTGTCTCATTATTCGAAAGGCGAAAATATTTATCCATAATTCATTCATCATACTTTGAATGAAAAACGAGTTATCACTGTTTCCAACTGTTTCTCTTGCTACCAGTGAGGGATAGAGAGTCTGATGAATCCTGCCAAAGTCGACTATTTCATGAAGTTATTGAACGATTCGACAAAATTGGTGGATGTATTAGTTGAACATGATGATGATGACCTTGAAAGAATGATCTTCTAGACGTGATGCAGGAATGGTGGTAGTTTTTTTTTCCAGAAAATGCATTGTTTGTATTTGTAGAGATGTGAGGAGTCAAAGTCAAGAGATAGGATGTGATGATATAAACATTGTAACTTTACCTTACTCTTTCCCATATCTACAGTAAGGTGAGAGTAGATGTGCCTAGTTGAAATGACTAGCCATGGATCTGTGAAGGCAAGGGCGCAAGTCGGTTCTTCATCTTGATCATAGAGGCTCAATAATAATTGCTGAAGAAGGTTACCAAATTTAAATTCTCAAGTGAACGCCATTTACAGAATTTCATAGAAATAATGTACCCATTTTCAACACTCGTCACTATAGATCAACTTTGTTACACAGGGATAGGAGACACTTCTAGACCATCGATGAAACAAGGGAAACGATTCACTTTAGAAATTCAATATATGACTCGATTTTAAATAATCGGACTAAATAAACGAATCAGAGTGTCAATGAATAAATATTGAATTCTTACCCAATGATGGCCTCTATAGGAATATTCAACTAATACAGGGTCTTACCCAAGGGTTGAATGCATGAAATGCCATCGGAAAAACGAATCCACATGTTTCTAGAAATGATATGAAAATCGAGAAAGGTTAATGCAGTCAAGTTGCTGGAAAATAATTCCATGAAAATCAAAAGATAAATACACAAGAAGCCCCGATTCTGGTTGAGATACGTAAACGATACCTTCATAATATGGAACCATGTGGATGCAGAAATTGTCATCTTGCGTATCACATTATATCATATAATGGAAACCCGAACTACCACAAAAATTATCAACTACCTTCAAACAAAGATTGGATGGACTTTGTACTGATACTTGCCGAGAGTTCTTTACTGGAATTACCTCTTATGAATGGTATTGGTACACCTCAAGGTAAGTTCACGCCTCTACGGTATCCTGATGGTGCGTAATCCCCGAATCGCCCTTCTTTGAGATTTATCATTCATGGGCACACTATACAACGTTATACATGAAAAATGTAATATGTATAGTTTGAATATTTTCTTCAGGAAGCTATACTTTGAATGTAGATATTGATTCTATATTTTTTTCAGTTATGATTGGAAGCAAATGAAGATTTTTGTCTTCGTCAAAAACTAACTTCCTGAATTTCAGTAAAAGCATTCCTGAAAGATATATTGTAGAGCGTCCAACAGTAAACTTTGCTTGTTGCCATCATTTCAAAGACAAACTTCACTACAAGATCATCATTAGTCAAACCAATCAACGCGATCCGTCGGCCGTCCCATCAACTCGCACAAAATTCCTCTAGCGGTACACAATTTCATCGCTCATCTCACGAAGGACCTCAAGTCTCTTGACAAATTGCCGGAGTTAAAGTTTAGCCGGACTTCTCTAATCCGTAAAGTGTCACTTTAGAAGGTTTTTTGGTCTTTTTTGTGTGTCTAGCTGGGCGCTGGCTGCTTGGCAATTAGTTCGACTGCAATCAACACTCGCTGAGGGAATACTTCAATTAATTTACTCTTTGAAGTTTGTTCCTATTTCGAAGTATTTTTATACCGTCTATATAGGGTATATTCGTCGTATGAGCTTAATGTTTTTTGGCACAAAATGTATTGATGTAACCTTTTTGTATACTTTTCATGTTTCAGTTCATATTTCAAAAATAATTATGTCATCTCAAACATGAAAGAATATGTCATCAAGAACTCCAAAAAATATTTCTATGGTGTAAAGAAAAGGTTTGTTTATGCAAAAATGAGAAATGCAACTTTCCATGTTTTTTATCACTTTCATTTGTAACTATTGTTACTTCAGTTTCGTCCTATGAGGGCCGTTTCAAAGAACCACAATAAACTGGAAATATATCATAATTTTGGCCCTTATATATCTACTGTAGGTGACAATAGAGGTCATTAACTTGATTGAGTACCTGCCATTTGTCAACCTGTGACAATGTGGACACGATAATTTGAAAACATTTTACACAGAAAAATTTCTCTCAAGATGTCGTTGGTGTTCACATTCGTTATATATGAAAATAACATTTCCACCCTTTATTGATCCATAATGATCAATTCGAAGGGTCAAGTAATAATTTTTCACCACCATTCACAAGAAAAACTATGCTTTTGGAAATGAAAAAAAGTTCAGCTTCCTACTTCACCATTTTCATACAAAACAATGTCGGATCTGAATATTTTGTGAAGAGTTCATTTTAAAATAAGTTCCTCTGGAACTTTCCAACATTGTTTTCTATAAAGATGGAGAAGTAGGAAACCGAAATATTTCATTCCAAAAAATTATTCGTTCTAGAAAATATACCCCAATCAATTTGAACAGACTATGCCTATCTAAATCTTCTGGAAAGGAAAAAGCCAACACCCACTGAACAGAAAAAAGTGAAAATTGTTATGAAGAGCCTGTCTTCAGGAGCTGATGACAGTCTACTTCGTCTCCTGAAGACTTGAAATTTGGTTGGTGAAGCGTGCGTCGAAACCGAGTGTCGCAGTTCTGGTGTTTAGGAGAACTGCTTGTTTTGGATTTACCATCTGAATTAACAAAGTAGGTCTTTATCGAAAGTCTATTTGAGTTTTGCTATTTCTGATCCAAACGATTAGCAAATTGCAGCAAAGGAAAGCGAATCAAAAGCTTTTCATTCCCATTTCCATGAAAAAAATTGGGATATCTCTGCTGAGGAGGTGATGTATTTTCAATTGATTTCAGATCAAAATTCGTCTCTCTTACAAAAACATGTTTCCGACTTCTTGCAAGACGTTTTCTTCCCTGGCAGTTCTAACCCACTATATATGTCCTATCCGGTATTTTCAATCTGTATCCTGGTCTGCATCGCGTCGAATGCAAATCTCTTTTTCTAAGAGGGATGTACCGCTCCGGGCTGTTTGGTGCCAATTACGAAAAAGGGTAGCCGTAACAGATCGCTGCATATGTGTATCGAGATATTTATTGTTTCCATTTATTTCTTACGTGGAGCTTTGGCAGTTTTATGTCCACCGCAATTGATTGGTGAATACGAATAAAAACACGAACGAAAACCGGATAAGGAAAGCAGATTGTGTGGCACGGAAAATTTAACGATCTATTTTTATTTTTGCAGTGTTACTGATTAAAACACCAGATGAGCCTTCCGAATGAATTTTCAGTTTGGGGGCTATATAATAAGAAATACACTTGTTTTATCGAAAGTCATACTACAAGACTCGAATTTTATCGATAAATTTCCATTTTTTAACGAAAACTTTCTTTTGATTGAGAGCAACCAGCATAATTAATCCACGATTTCGTCAGACAAGTGGTTTTATCTGTTACTGATCTATACAGGGTGTTAATTATGTATGT